GTCACTTGCATTCGTTATATTTCGACGCTTCTCCTTTTAGTAAGTTGCAGTCGCTGCTCCCTAAAGATCACAGTATGGAAAGCGCCTGCTTGGAGTGAGTGAAATCATAGCAGAATTCTATACAACTTGCGCAAGAAACTACCCAAAAGCGAAAGTGATAGAGGAGGTAATCTAATTCACCTTCTGCAATTCTGCAGTTGTAAAGCCTTCGAAATAAGGGAAATTCTGGGAACCGGTGGCATTATGATGGTATATGTGTGTGTGTATGAGTGAGGGTGTTCGGATTTTTGTAACTTGGAAATCGCTGAAGCTAGAAAGCTGGAATTTCACACTCGCACCTCCACTCGTTATAATGGGGAATACAAAATCACCGAAATGGAGAAAACTATGAAAGAAATCCACCACCTGAACCATGCATGCAAAACGATGATAGGTGAAAAAATATTTTATCAATAAAAACAGACAACACATCAGCCGAACTCCACTTCTACATTTCTGTGCTGATGGCTTAAAAAATATCGTTCTCAGGCAAATGGAATGCAGAAACAGGGCTTGCAAAACTCAAAATTCGGGCATCCCGTTCTGAGAAAGCCAAGAGTTGTAAGAAACAGTGAAGCACGGAACTATAAAGAACAAAACTCACGCATTCTAATTAAACTAATGCTGCTCCAAAATTCTAGACGTGCGTAACTTTAGGCAAGAAAGAAACATTCATATTGCGCTTTGCAAAAAGCGATTTGAAAGGACGAACAAAAGAAAACACAGTTTTTCAAGTGTTTTATCATAGAAGACACACCGGCTAAATTCACAGACATTTCATTATTTCAAGCGCACTTTTTTGTCGTGAATTTGCAATCCAAGTTTCTGAAGCTTATCACTAAAAATCGCTTTCAAATCCACGTCATTGCTGCTGTCTCCGTTCGTCTCCAAAAAGCACTTGATCACTTCGCTTCTCAATCGTTTCACCTTCATTTCATTGTCTTTTGCTTCTTCCAATTTACGTTTAATGGCACGTTTCCATTTGAATTTCTTCACACCATTACTTGTTGTTGCCTGCAATTATCACGGTAAATGTGTGCAAGAAAGTCAGTATCCTACCTAACCAGACTCAATAAATACTGCTCGGCTCGAACTGAAACTCACCTCAGCCTTTTCTTCTGAATTTTGCTCTTCTTTATGAGCACTGCTTCGTAATTTTTCTTCCGCGTTTGATGAAACTTCCACGTCGCATCGGTTGTCAGCTTCACTACGATTATTACTTTGTTCCACAGCCGTCCCATTCTGCATCTTTTTAGCTTCTTCCGCTATGCAATTCCATGCCTGGATTACTCATACTTAATTTCAACTCACAACGGAAATCGAACATAATGCAGCCTACAAAATTACAGATTTAAGAAAAGCAATAAAAAATCGAAATGAATACCCTGGTACAGATGTCTCGATCCCTAATGTTTCTTGAGTTTTGCAGGAAATTGATAAATTTTGCTTCTTTTCTCGGTATATTGGCATAGCCAAGGATTTGCTCAAGAAGTTTTTTTAAGCTCGGTTCCCGCACATTCTCTATTGCTCGTTCCACCTGTTCAACCCAACGGCTTTGCTTCACCTCGCCCTGTAAATGAAATCCTTCGTAGAATTCAAATTTTTAAAGACGCGTGTGAAAGCCATTTCATACACATAAAAAATTACTTTGTTTTCTTTCTCGACATACTTGCTCCCACCGTATTTTTTGTTTTCGGATAAGCACTTTATGTGGCTTTTATATGTTTGCAGGGTAAATTTCTGTCCGCAATCCAAACACGAATACGTCGCATCCCTACAAAATCCGAAACATTTAGAGGCGAGAAACAGCAGCTCTCTTCTGTGTTCAGCAGACGCCAAAATCATTCATATGAAAAAATAATGACAGAAATTGACTCTCTGCCAAATACAGTATCTGAGATCAAAAGGCTAGAACGAATGAAAACTCAGCTAAATAAGCGCAATACACACCCATAAAGGGAAAATAACTGATCAAAAGATATTATGTTAAAAAAATGAAACACGAGAACCGAAAGCGTCAAAATCACGTTAAAAAAAGAGAAAAGAAGGATATATAAACGAGTGCCATGCTGACCAAAGCTGCAATATTGGTTAGAAGGCTTAAAGTTTTTGAGAACCTTTATTTCTTGCAGAATTAAGTTAAATAAACAGCGGCGCGCATCAGAGCAGCCGGTGCGATCATGAGTTTTGCGCAGTTCCACCCAGCGGGAGTTCGTCTGTTAAGAATTTTCACTTTTTACATTTTGCTGTGAGCAAAAAGCAGTCGATATGTTGTCTAGTTCCTAAGCTGCGAAATTTCCCACAAAAAATTTCACCATTACGTGAAACGTAAGCGTAATTGGATCGTATACACACACACACACACACGCACACACACACACACATACACACACATACACCTACACACACATATACACACACATATACACACGCACGCACACACACACACACACACAAACACACACGCACACACACACACAAACACACACACATACACACACATACACACACACATACACACGCATACACACACATACACACACACATACACACACACATACACACACACATACACACACATATACACACACATATACACACGCACGCACACACACATGCACGCACACGCATACGCGCACTGACACACACACATATACACACAACACACACATGAAGGCAAATTGCAAGTGTACGATAAAGCACTGTATGATATAGACCAACCGGCATTTGAATCCATGTTTTTCAACTTGATTTTTCTTCAGCGCTTCGGTACACCGGTCACAGCTAAAAAACACCATGAAGGGGCAGAAGTTGCCTGAAACAAAAGAATATTGACAGTGTATTCACTCAGTTCATTCTCGAAGCACCAGTACACTACACACATGCTGTGTCTCCAAATACCAGAATGATACGCATTAGCTGGCACTCGTCAATGCAATGTGCAACGAACAAGGCTCATAATTGTTCATTGGAAATCATTATATAGCACTTTTTTGCAAAAAAAGCACCGGCGATGGGTTGAAACTGCCTCTTTGATGCGATTCACTTTGACAAAGTCTCATAGCTCAGGCATTCCTGGCTTCAGCCACCAGAATCAGAAACATCATGACAGTTCGAAGTAATCAAAAACAGACAGAATTTCAAAGCTCAAGTGCAAATCAACTAATTGGTGATGGGACTAATACTAGCGAGGCCTCAATAACACTCGGAAGTACAGTGTCTTCGCCAATGAGTTGCAGCACTTTATCTGTGAGAGGAAGTCCTGCAGCTTTGGTAAAACGATTAAACTCCGATACTCCCAGTCAGGAAACATTGGGATTACTTTAGACATTTCATTGACAGAAATCACCCATAAAACAACATATCATGGCAATTAACCATAAAGATGGGAAGCAAAATATGATTTGATGTCGTTTATCTGCAAAAAATTATTTCAGTCTGAGAGCGAAAGTGAACAAAGCAATAACTCAACGAACCCCAAATGATATCACAGTCAC